ATTCAATTTTTTAATGTGATTCAACTTAAATGTCGTATTGCCCAATCCAGTTATCCATACCCATCCTAAATTCTGTCATGGTATCGGAGCATGTTTTGACCCACCTCGTTTGCCAAGGTGTCTGTCTAGACGTTCATTCCTAGCGGCCCGTTAGTTTTTAGCCCAGTTGTCCGTATGCAGTATATACCCAACGGCTTGTGGCCCGTTTAACACGATTGCTCGTCTGGAAGTCCATACCCAGCGTTTCGTAGTCATTTTGGTGTTGGCACTCAAAAAAAATCAAGGGAATGTGAGTTCATTTGTAAGTGGTCCACCGGTTAGATTCAAAATGACCCGGTTGTTCACTTGAGGGGGAGTGTTAAAGCGCATCCCACATCGAAAGTTCAAGAGTAAAATAATCGGTATATAAACTCTTGGGTCGGTTAGATTTAATCTTTAATTGTGATTTAACTCAAGTGTCTTATTGTCCAATTCAGTTATCTATACCTATCTTAAATTCTGTCACTTTACAAATAGAAGTTTCTATTTTATGATCTACTTCAATGATAAGCAGATTAAAGTCCATATATATGTGTAAAACGTACAAAGAGTGTGAAAAATGAATATTGAATATGATAGGAATACCGTCACCAGTCCGGACTCGAGAGAGACGACAAGAGACTCTGAGGATGATGCTTTGCCAGTAGAAGGGCATAACGAGTCACGGGTGATCGACAAGAATCCTCGTGATAAAACACTTCCAACTTGACAACAAAACTACATGGTTCAGAGTGGGAAAATTTCTAGAACAAGATTAAAACATTACAGTTTTTCATAAATAGAACCAGTCTTATTTTATTTACGTTTTAAGATATGAAAGGACAAAATTAAATTTTAAACCAATCTAGTTGTAATCTCCTGCACGTCCATTGACTCATGCATGAAATTAATGAGAATTTAACATTATCATTAATTACTTACCTCTTTTATTAAAATAGCATTAATTACTTACCATGCTTATTCATAGTGATAGTATCTACGGAGTAAATTTTTTTACATATAGTGGTGGAAAAAACTGGAAAGAAACTGACCACATATAGCAAAAATGTTCTTTACAGCAAGAAAAATGGAGCTAAATTTTGGAAGAAACTAGAAAAAACTACATGAAACTGAAAAGCACTTGAAGAAACTAAAAAGAATTAGATGCAATTGGAAAAACTACAAAAAATTGGAAAGTTTAAAAAAATTGTAAAAAATCTATTTTTATTATTTATTATTAGTATTATTGTTATATTCATAATCACGTTATCTTTATAAATGTCTTTAAGATTAAATAAAAGTATTATCATTTTTCATACACAAAATGAATCTATTATCGCAAATTTTTTTTAATTAGAACATAAAATTAGCATAACCATTAAAATGTTAAATTTTAAAAAGTTATTACGGTTTTGTTGTACCTCAATTCTTAGCCAGTATTTATTATAAAATTATAGGCTTTTAATTACAATTTAAGTGGTATTTATTACAAGATTTTGTCTTAAATATTAGAAATATCACATAAAGTGATCAAATCTATTTTTTATTTCATGATTGACATTGTATTTGCATTGTACTCCGTAAGTTTTATTTCGAAAATAAAAATATAGAACTCCTAAATTTTAATATAGTACTGTATAAAATATGATATTTTCCTATTTTATTATGTAGATTAATAAACAAAAAATTGTGTTATTTCTATTAAAAAGCTGAAAAAATTAATAATGATTGTAAATCGTAAAATTAGAGACATGGAAAACATAAAAAAATAGTTAGTAAACTATTATTATGAACATAATAGTTATAATAATAATAATAATGAAGATAATACTAATAATAATAATAATAATAATAATATAATAATAATAATAACAATAGTAATATAATAATAATCATATTAAAAATATATCACTTATAGGATAATTATTTGCGGAGTAGAAAGAGTTTGAAATAAATACAAGGCACTTGAGCTCTTTGGCCTAATTTCTCCGTTTTTAAATTGATCATCATGCTTTTTTTTAATTCATTAAATAATGAACAAATGTAAACATAGAATACTTCTATTGAGTATATTCTTTCATTTTTTATATATTATGAAATTAAAGTTACTCCGTATATTTTACAAAAAGAAGTGAATGAGTTATTCAAAAAAAAAAGGGAGGGGGTCATATTAAAGCAATAAAATTGAGGAGAGTGAACTCTATTTTTTAGTTTTCAGTTAAATATTCGTAAAAGTCTTTAATTAATTTGAACATTCCATACGCGTGCAAAATCGAGATTCGATGCCAATCAAAGACCAAATTGGGTGATAGCAGGTGACATTAGAAAGTTGGGTTGGCAGCAGTTATTGGATTCATCCAAGGAAACCATTCAAAACTAAATTTAAAGAGTTTAAAAGGAAATATAACGTTGACTTTCAAAAAATCAGATACTTTGTACTCCATAAAACCCATATTTAATTTCCTGAAAATCTTTCTATATTTATTTATTCGGAGATATCAGAAATGCGAGAGTTACAAATAAATAAGAATTGTACGATTCTAAAGTCTACATGTGAAATACTATCATTTTCACCCATTTTTTTGAAAGAAATTCTAACATATTTTTTTATGAACTTGTAGTTGGATCTTTTTTCATTTTGCACATTCATATTTCAAGATCCATATAAAAACTGTGGACATAGTGACAATGAAACCACACACAGCTTCTTTACATTCAGGTACTCAAAAAATAATAGTCACAAAATATTAGAGTATAAAAAAGTACAAATTACATTGTTAAAAATTATGTTAAAAGTTTTACACAATAAGAGATGACAAGAATATTTTATCGTACTTCCCCCATCCAATAATAAAATTCTCATTCACTATTCACAAGTTAAACTATTTTTGTGTCCTATTGATAAAAATAATATAGTCATATCACCTCTAATATAATTTTGTAGATCTTTTAATGTACTCCCTCCGTCCTAATTCTTTCTTCCCAGTTTGACTTTTCCCCATTTTTAATTTTTGGCTTTGACTTCAAATTTTACCCTCCTTAAAAAAGATTTTTTGAAATTTTTTTTACAATCATTCAAAATATAGAGTTAGAAGATAATTGGTGTAAATACATGAGGGTATTAATGTCATTTGTCATCCTTTTTTTCTAATGGGAAGGTAGTTTTAGGACGGAGAAAAAGAGGAAGTGGGAAGAAAGTTTTAGGACAGAGGGAGTAATTCTTAAACTATGTAATTTTTATTTTTTAATTCCATACCATTTTACATAAAATGATACATCAGTCGAACATCATAACGCGCAATAAAAACTTTATTTATAGACGGAGGGAGTATTTAATGATTGATTAAAATATGTAAACAAACATAAGTTATCGAGAGACCATAATAGTAATTAGGAAGTTTATTGTTGGATGGAGGGAGATTTCTTTTTTAATCCCACTAAAAGAAATAAATTACTCCATCCATCCCAAAAAATGCAACAATTACTATATTAGTCTCTCGATAATTTTTATTTGTTACTCGTTTTGGTTGGACATTTGATAAAAGAAAATATTCTTGTCGCATTTGTTTTGTAAAATTTTTGATGTACTTTTGAACGGTGTAATTTTATTTTTATTTATTTACCATATTATAAATAATTAAAATGATTTTAAAAGAGATAATATTTTACACGTCATTCGAAGTGTGTAAAACAATTTGAAACGGATAGAGTATCTCAAATAGTTAAAAATGAAATACACAAATGGGAAATTTTTAAATTATGACTTTTTATTTGTGACTTTAGAATTAAGAAATCACTCCAAATAGAATTAAAAATATTGAAAAAGTATCTAAATAGAAGCTACATGTTTTTATCTCCAAAATAAAATTGCGCACTATGCTAATGTTACACTGTACATAGATATTTTACAATAACTTTTGAAGAAATCTCCTTGAATAGGAGTTATAAAGTTTGAAAATATCAAAATAGGATTCGTGTGTCTTTTAAGACCGAAATATGAGTGTAATGTCATTGTGGTGTAAGAATACGTATCCATTATAATTGTGATAGAAAAGTGATGATAGTGTAATACTTCCTCTGGTCCTAAATACTCTTTTTGTTTTGACTATTTTTGGTCAAACAATGACACACTTTGACCACTAATTGTGAAAAACATATATTGAAATATAATTTGAATTCAATTTCATTGTGTCCATTTTAGGATATATTTTTGGTATACCGAATTTTTTTAATAATTAATTATTTAGATTATATTTAATTTGTAGCCAAAGAATGCTACTGTTTGACTAAAAAAATCAAAATAGGAAGAGTGTTTAGGATTGGAGAGACTATGTCAGTGTGATCAGTCAACTGCCGGCAACCTGCAGGGACACTCTGTGGTGAGTGTGCCTGTGTAAAAATGACAGTGTGAAGTTCTATTTTTATCTTGAAAGACTTATGTTTTTATTTTGATATTTTCATAATTTTTTTACTCATATTTAAGGAGTTTTCCTTAACTTTTGGTAAAGTACATGATCATGATTCACACTGTAAATATATTTTAATTTTATCTGAAAATAAAAACATATACTTCATCCGTCCTATATCTTTCATCCCGTTGCGCAAAACAAAGAAAAATCTCAAGTTTTTTCAATCTATTTTATTTAAATATTGGTATAGAAATAAAAAATAAAACATACATATTTAAAAACTATATCAAAAGTTCAACAAAACAAGTGGTGACAAGAATATTTAATTTTATCATATAGGCCATTAAAAACACAAATAAATATAAATTTCCGTGAAGTTGGAATAGTGCTCTGGGAAGAAAGCTTTAGGACGGAGGGAGTAACTTTTATTTTTTATATTTTCAATATTTTATTTATAATTTAGTTTTTTTCTCTATTATACTCGGTATCTAAATAGGCTAGAAAGTGTTTTTTAAGGCAATGAGGGAGTATATATAGCGTAAAGGATACATGTGATCTCAATCTCGCCAGAGCACAAAACACAAAACGGTCTCAAAGAACACTTTTTCTCCCTTTCTTTATCTCTTTTTTGTTCTTCAAGTCAGCCCTTTGGTCCTCCCTCTTCCTCTTCTGTCCATTTGGAGTTCATGTTGATCCACAAGATTTTAGTGCTTTTCCTCGCTCTCTCCCATCTCCTCCCTCCTCTCTCTGCAACATCAAGTACTCATCAACATTTTAATTATATAAGTCAACTCAGCTCCCTGAATATTAATTACATTACTCGTTTTGAATTCTTCATCAAATTCAATTGAATGATCTGTATCTATACTTCTGTATCTATCTATTGTCTTCAATTCTCTCTATACTTATGCAATCTTTCGTGAACAGGAAATGTAAAGGAAATCATGGGTGATGTTGGTAAAGCACGCCAAGCCGACGATGAGGTGATTTGATTTATATCTACTGACAAAAATATTTTTTTTTTCCCAATTTACAGATATTGAACAATAGCGAAGGTTTATTTGATTTAATTTGTGGTTAAGAAAATGGGGTGAAAGGTGGTTGAGACGTGGGATGTCCCCTACCATGGTCCAAATGGACGTAAACATTCAAGCTTGTGGTTGTAGTCTTTTTTTTTTTTTTAGTCTTGCACGTGTTTTAAATTAGGTGGCACTGAATTTTGAATTCATAATTTCTCAAGTCAACTATGTTCTGATACCATGTCAAGGAATTAATTCAATCAAAAAGTCAACTTTAGAGGAAATTTTTTATATTACACACTCATCTATATGCCTTTAGACTTATCTTGAATCTTTTGATTCCAATTATTTAAAAGCCAAACATGAGTATCTAGTCTAGAGATTCCAAATTTCAAACTTCAGAGACTTCAATTTCCACACTCCAATTACTAGATTCCATAATTTAATTAAATTTTGAAGAGTGTCTTTTAAAGAGTATCTGCAAAAAGTGAGAAGAAAATATTGGGTGTCTAGTTGAACGGGATAATCAAATAGTTCAACCCAAGTGTTTTATAAGCCAATCCAGTAACCCTTACCTTATCCTAAATTTTATCATGGTATTGGAATACGTTTTGGCCCACCTCGTCTCTCAAGGTGTCCCTGTCTTGATATTCATTTCTAGCCGCCCTAGTCTTCAGCCCAATTGTCCGAATGAAATATTTACGCATTCATTTCAAGTGGATGAGAATCCATTTCCAAGTGGTCAACCGGCTATATTCAAAGTGGTGTGATTGTCCACTTGAGGCCGTGGAATTTTACTAGGCTCGTTGTATCGAGATTCTAGTCACCGGACTCTAATCGTCAGATTCTAGACTCCCCTCAAGATTAGAGTAAAACATTATTTTTAAGTATTGTTTTTATGTTATTCTTCCTATTGATATGCTCCATTATGGGTCCCAAAATGAAGTTCATGTTTTGATTTAAAAGAGTATAAAAGCATTGTATATATAATTCATTTGATATATACTTGGAATTCAATTATATATATATATATATATATATATATATATATATATATATATATATATATATATATAGGTTTTGATGAAAGGATATGAGCAGAGAGGGGCAGCTGTTTTAGGAAGAGGAAAAGAAGAGTTTGGGTTTATATTTGAGGAAGGAAGGGGAAGAATGAAGATTGAGATCGATGATTATGAAGGTGCTGGTCCCAACAGAAAACATGACTCAGATGCCCCTCCTACCCCTGGCAATGGCAATGGCAAAGGAAATAGATGAGGAATCAATTTATATTTATTTATTTTCAACTTTTTATTTTCAATAAAAAAAACATGAAGGACGTTTTAATTAATTTTATGTACTAGACACTAGCATATGTTCTACTCTTATTCGTGTGTATGTTGGGAAAATATTTGTGCCGTCTTGTTTGTGACCGTTACAAATTAAGCGTTTTAACGTTAAGTCGTCTTCAGTTACGCATTCGTTTGAAATATATATAATTTAATTTTATAATGCTTTCAATATAAATTGAAATGGAAATAAATTTAATCCGATTTCGTTATGTGTGTCGACAAATTTTTATGGGATGAGGAGAGTAGAGTGAAAATAATTAAGTAAAGTACTCCCTCCGTCCTAATTCTTTCTTCCCAGTTTGACTTTTCCCCATTTTTAATTTTTGGCTTTGACTTCAAATTTTACCCTCCTTAAAAAAGATTTTTTGAATTTTTTTTACAACCATTCAAAATATAGAGTTAGAAGATAATTGGTGTAAATACATGAGGATATTAATGTCATTTGTCATCTTTTTTTTTTCTAATGGGAAGGTAGTTTTAGGACGGGGAAATAGGGGAAGTGAGAAGAAAGTTTTAGGACGGAGGGAGTAATAAATTTTTACTGTATAAATAGTGCATGAAAAGAAAATACTTCCTCCGCCCCAAAAAAGTGGTCGGCTAGTTTACTATTCACATGATCAAATTTTATCTATTTTCTATTTTTGTCATTTGTTTGATAAAACAATATAGTCGTGTCACCTCTTATTTTGTATAGATTTTTACTATGTAAAATTTATTTATTTTAGTTGGGAGAAAGACCAAAGTAAGACTAAAACATTGAAAATATACCAAAATAGGACTTCCATGTTTTTATTCCCGAAATAGGACTTAAAATGCATTTATATTACCAAACATGATCATGTACATTACCAAAAAGTATTGTAATGTGCACATGTACAGTGCCACATTACAACCACATTACCACAGTGTGAAGTACTATTTCGAGGAAAAAACATGAAGGTCCTATTTGGTACTTTTCTCTATGTTTTAGTCCTATTTAGGGTGATTCATATTTTTAGTTCCGCTTCAATTTTTAAAAATTTTATTGAAAATAAATTGACTCAAAAATTGTAAATTAAAATAGACAATTTAAATTGACAGAAAGAGAATAGAGTATATTGATAATTAAAGCTTTAGAGCGTGGAGGTGTATAGACGACCCTGAGACTTGGTTTTGGTGAAATGTTTCAAATGTTATTTAAGTGGCCGTAGTGTGGCACTATTGGTGGGAGCCTCAAAAAAATTAGGGGCCAGTTTGTGAATAACATTAGCGATTAGCATTAGCGTTTTGGATAAAATTTTGATGTGCAGATTACTTTGAAAACACTAACGCTAAACGCTGCTTGTAGATAGCCTTTTCAAAACGCTAATCGCTAACGTTATTCCCAAACAGGTCCTAGGTCTTGTTTTGATATTTGTTGTCAGGCTATTAATTAGCTGTTTGTGTTATCTATATATTCTGAATGGCTGTTTAGTTTAGATACTTTGATTGGCTAGATATCTTAATTGAACGTTAAAATTATTTGGTAAAATTAACTATTTGAAAATAGCTATTTCTAGATTTAAAAATTATATATATATATATATATATATATATATATATATATATATATATTTATTTATTCATTTTTCTATATGCAAAAAAATAAATCTTTATATATAGAGTATTAAATTACACTTTCATATAATTCCTAAGAAATTAATAATATACAAGTTTTTAATGATTTTGATTTTTATTTTCTCATTTCATTTATTTTGTTTTTTGAATTTTAAAATTTTAAATTATAAATTTCAATTTTTTATTTTTAATTTCTTTAAATTTATTTTTTAATTTTTTACATATATTTTTGAATATCTTTGAAGTAAATGATAAAAAAATTTCTAACAGCCATGTCCAAAAGCTACTCCCCTTGGCTTTTTGACACAAATAGCTAAGTGAAAAAATCATTACTAAACAATGGTTATGGTTGTTCGATGCGTCAAAACGTCAAAGTTAGTCAAAGAGATCATATTATCTGAAAAGCTGTTTTCCAAACACAACCTTGATTCTATGGAAAACTTCTTAGAGGGGTTGGAGGCAAATCCATATTTAATTTCTTGATTAATTTTTTTGTTTATTTTTCTCCTTTAATCTTTGTGTTTCTTGAGGTCTGTTTTCAGAAGATGAGGAAAGCAGAGTAGAATTAGGTTGGTGCTTTGGATTGTCTAAAACGTTGAATTGTTTTCTAAATACATTTGTTATGTTTAGAAATTTTTTGACAATCCAAGTAATTGTTGCCTCCGCACAGAAAAGTCTCTCAAATAGATTAATAATGTTATCAATTGATTAAGAATTGATAAAAGAGATTGATTACACACATTTGATAAAAGAATTTATACAACACATAGGCCGTGTTTGGAAAACAGCATTTGGGATAACTTTTGACATCTTTGACTGACTTTGGCTTTTTTGACCAAGTGAACCGTCAAAATCATTGTTTTGGCTAATGGCTTTTTCACTTGACATTTTGATCCGAAAAGCCAAAATCTGAAATGCTAAGGGGAGTAGCATTTGGACTTGGCGGTTAGAAAAAATAATTTTTTTAAAATCATTTTTGTTGAAATATATTTTATAGTATATATGTAAAAAATAAAAATAAAAATAAAAGTTAAAAAATTAAATATTAAAAAAAATAAAATTTAAAAATTAAAAATTTCAAAAAATGAAATGAGAAAATAAAAAGCAAAAATCATTAAAAAACTTTATATTTATAATTTATTATGAATTAAATGAAATTAAAATTTAATACTCCATATAGTAAAGATTTAATTTTTACATGTAAAAAATGAAAAATAAATATCGTGTGTGTGTGTGTGTGTTTATATATATATATATATATATATATATATATATATATATATATATATATATATATATATATATATATATATATATATATATATATATAGGAAAAACTATTTCCAAACAGCTAATTTTACCAAACATTTTTAACTATTAGCCAATTCATTTTGTCAGTCAAACCAACTAAACTAAACAGCCATTCACAACAGCTGGCACGAACAGCCAACAGCCAACAGCTGACAACCAACATCCAAACAAGGCCATAAGGGAATAGCCGAATAGGGATGGCAGTTCTTGCCCGACTTGATGGATAACCGATCCAACCAACCTGTTCTTGTGGACTAAACCCCGAAAAGAAAAGGATGATGAACGGATGATGATGGGCTAATGATGGATTGAGTCGGACGTGGGTAGAAATGTTTTCCACCCGTCACCGATCTATCACCCGACATATTTATATTCACTTTAAAAAATTAAAATGAAAAATATTACATTTGTTAGGTAAATAAGCTTGTTCTAGTTTTGAATATTTCATTTTATAAAAACCTAGTTTCTAACGTAGAAGATTATTTCTTTGTAGAACTTTATCGTAAACATTATTAATCTCTTATTTTTCTAAAAAAAAATTGGTGTTGCATGCTTCAAAAATTTTTCTTTTCACGAGTTTAATGATTAAAAAAGTATTACCTATGTTACTTGTTTTCATCCATTTTACCAGGCATAATGGATGAATCTGGTGATGGATGATGTATCTGACAGATTATTGATAAATTAAGTGAGGAATATGAAGTTGATGGATATACGGACGAGATTAAGCTCCACCCACCAAAATCCAACCCGTTCGACATCCCTAGAAAGAAAGAAGAGTACTTTTGTTTTATTTTTCTATTGAATTGTAAGCAACATGATATGTTCTAATGTTGTACTTCTAAAAATTGATATCTTGTAAGAAATATTTTAATTTTATGATATCATGAATTCTATGTTTTTACATAAAACCGAACTTTTCCCCATGAGTGGTAGGAAGTCCACTGTCTAGGATTTATAAGAACGTCTACCAAATTTTGAGCCCTAGCTGGAGACAGAGACATCAATAACATTATAAAAAATCTCTTATTGTACGGAATACTTTGTTATTTTTCTATTACTTGGATCGATAGCACTTTGTATATATGAACTTTCTAGGGCCTCCAAAATGATAAAAACAATGTTGAAATTAAATAAATGTGTAATACTCTCTCTGTTTGAAAAAAAGAGTTTCAACTTCATTTTTACACATCCACAAAACACTTTTACTATACTCTTATCCGAAATGTCTAAAATACATCAATTTTCCCCTTTTTACGAGTAAGAGTTATTTTTAAAGTATTTTAGATATTTTAGGTAGAATACAAGTATTTTCTAAGATGCACAAAAAATCCTACGGAGGGAATAATAAATTAGTGCAAGTAATTACTTTTTCTTTGCAAGTTATATCGTAGCCAGCTATACCTATCTCTGTGTACAATCGGATGTGGATTACCAAATGAGCGGCGACAAGGTGGTATAGATCGAGATCAGATGGAAAAGAGGGGAACAAACCGAAGAAGTTGTTGGCCTCTGTCGAAAATCTAGGATCGGAAAAATTAGTATAGCAGTGGCCACCATGGGTTCTTACAATTGAAGCTCGGATTCTCATGGCTAAGGACAATTTCAGCAACAACACGGAGCATAGCGGTGGCTTGCATGGGCATTGAATGTTTTCTAAATGAACATTATTTTACTCGAAAATTAACATTTCATATAATTATAGTAAACCTTGTAAGTTCGTGGGGGCGCAGCGGAAATCACCAATTAAGAACTATCCAAACAAATAAACCAACTGTGCTGCAGAGAAGATGCTGCAGCTCTGTCCAGTAACAGATGACGGACTGTCTGCTATAGCACTTCTCTGTCACAAGCACATAAGAAGCAGATGACGCAGAGAGCGTTACAGCGCCTACTGGGTAGAATGCTGTAACTGTAAAAAGCGTAAAAAATGACACCAGATATGTTTACGCAGTTCGGAGAAACTCTCCTAATCTGCGGGGCCCACGTTCGTGTAATAGCCCTCCACTAAATCACTAGATGCAAGTTACACCGGTACATAACAACATGATGAGACTCCCTTCTCCGAATTGCTGTGACAAAACTTCTAATCTAGGATTTCTAACTCGAACTCTGTTCAGATCCGCTTCGGCTATCACATCTCCACCGAGATCACGAGGACAAACGTGTTGGCAGCCCACTCGTTCAGCTCTGGTTCATCT